ATCTTTTCTTTTGTTCCTGCACATTGTGTTAGGTAAAAAAAAAAAAAAACAATGCATGCAGCATGTATGAAGAAAGTCAGAAGGCCAGGTACTGGTAGCTCATGCCTGTAATCCTAGCTACTCAGGAGACTGAGATCTATGAGACTCTTAACTCTAATTAACCTCTAGTAAACCAGAAGGGGTCCTGTAGCTCCAAGTGATAGAACTCTACTCAAGAGCAAAAAGAGCTCAAAGATAGAGCCAGGCCCTCAGTTCATGCCCCAGGACTGTAAAAACAAAATAACAAAAACCAAAAACCCCCAAAATACACAAAACCCCCCTCAGAATATTAACCTTCATTATCTTTATTAATTGTCTTCTTCTGGTTATTCAAAAAATAAATACCATGCAAATGAGGTATATATAGTAAGGAAAATGGACTATCACCATTGACCGAAATCATCTTAGCTTTGAAGTGTCATATGGGATTAGAGTCAACAGATATTTTTAACTTTGAAATTCTAAGGTTCTCTAATTTGTTTCTACATTCTTTTATATTGTCAGCAGGACACATTCTTCTTGGTAAAATAATTCTGCCATCTTTCCTTTTCTGATTTCTCAAATCTGGGTAAACATATGGAGGTAAAGTATAGAAAGGTCTACACATAAAAAAAATCCACTTACATTTGCCAGCATAGGAGATCTTTTTTTCTATTTCCTCAGTCCATACTGTAATTTTAAGCTCTACATAAGAGAAAGAATGTTATAAACTGACTTGAAAATGCATCTTGTGCATGCACACATGTACACTGGCAGTCTCATCCTGCTTCTAGATTCCAGCTTTGCTTTTGCTTTTCCACATCCATTCCCCACTTTGCACAATGAAGTTATTTTCCCTTTTAAATCTGCATTTACCCTTTTTAGAGCATGATGTTATTTTTTGAAAATGTTATTGGAGAGGAACAGTACTGGAGCTTGAACTCAGGATTTGGGCACTATCCCTGAGCTTTTCTTTGCTTACAGATAACAACACCCTACCCCTTGAGCCACAACAATATTTCTGGCTTTTTGGTGGTTAACTGAAGATCAGTATCATAGACATTCCTGCTTAGCTAGCTTTGAACTTTGATCCTCAGATCTCGGCCTCCTGAATAGCTAGGATTACAGGTCTGAGCCACCAGCAGCTGGCCTATATTTTCAAAATTATCTTAAGTAGTTGTCCCCCTCTTCCTGTACTCTTCGGACAAAAGATGTTTCAGCTTTCTAAAAACCTGTATTTTTCTTCTTTTTATACCTGTGGAGTTGTCTTATTTTTATTTTATTGATGCCTTCTTAAATATCAACATTTTCATGTCATTTTAAAAATTAGACTAAATTATTTATGCTAATTTTTTTGGTGGTAATGGGATTTGAACTTGGGGCAGTGTGCTTGTGAGGCAGGTCCTCTACTACTTGAGCCACGCTGCCAGCTTAAACTGAGACTAAATTTTAAGATATGCTATGTGACTCTTTTTGTGGGTATTAGTCCTAGGGCTAACTCAGGGCCTGGGTGCTGTCCCTGAGTTTTGTGCTCAAAGCTAGTACTCTACCACTTTAGCTCCACTTCTGGGTTTTTGTAGTTTGTCTTGTATATAATTGGAGATAAAAGTCTCATGGTTCTGCCCAGGCTTGTTTCAAACTGCAATCCTCAGATCTCAGACTCCTGGATAGTTAGGATTACAATTATGAGCCACCAGCACCTGATTGTAAAAGTGTTCTTTAATGTTACACGTTAATAATAGAAGGGGGGTCTCACTATTCTTTGAATAAATTCATCTCTTTTATTGTTTTTCCTTAATCTCTCTCCGTTTTTTAAATTTATTATTACTCTTAAGTAGATGTACAAAATTTCTGAGTAGTGTCACTCCTTAATTTTGAAGTGTTTGGTGGGTTTCAATGTGCTATCTATCTATCGATCGATCGATCTATCTGCCTACCTACCTACCTATTTATCATCTATCCATGTATCTACCTACCCTTCAACTATGTGGAATTACACATTTTTTTTTTTTGTTAGTCGTGGGGAGTTGTCCCTCAGCTCTTCAGCTCAAGGCAAACACTCTACCACTTGAGCCACCGCGCCGCTTCTTGTTTTCTGAGTGGTTTCTTGGAGATAAGAGTCTCATGGATTTTCTTGCTGGGGCTGGCTTTGAACCGGGATCCTCAGATCTTAGCTTCCCGAGTAGCTAGGATTACAGGTATGAGCCCGGCTGGAATTCTACAGTTGTTAAAAAAAACTACTAGCACTTAAAAAAATTCATGTACTTCTTTCAGCCTCATACTACCCAGACTAGATAATAACCTTGACCTGTCCTTAATTTCCTTACTCCCCTGGAATGTATTCTCGTACTTGATTTCTGCCTTCCTTTCTTCCTTCTCTTAACGTACCCATGGCGGCAGCCACAGGAAGGGAGCGTCCTGCAGTTGGCTTTTCCACAGGCAGACACATCCACTGTGGAATGTTATTTAAGGTCTGTGCGCCGCTGGTCTCTAAGAAAGCAAGCCGTTATAGTACTTTCTTCCAGCATCTTCCACCCTGACAGCTAACCTAACTTCCGGCCTCACTGTATCTCTCCAAGCCCCACCTACAGGGAAACTTTACAGTGATTGAGTGAAGTTTTTCACTTACAGACTGCACATTTTCCCCCTCAAAATTGTCCTTTCCTGGATGGAGGAGCCCGAAAAGCCCCGTGCCGGAGATCAGAGCACAGGGCTACTTCTTTTCTTCGCACAGAGAACCCCCCCCCCCCTCCTGGGTCCCCTTCCTTGGGGGGGGGATCCTTAAGTCTTCTTGTTGTTGCTCTGCTGTCCTCTAAAGGCTGCTTCGCTCGAAGAGTGTCCGGCACTTTTCCACACTTATTTGTTCTTAATCCTCTCTTATTCCTAAAACCCAGGCTCGCTGATTCATCATCCTTGGGGGAACCAGGACAGAGCTGTGGGATTCTGGGCCGTTAGGCAGGACCACTGGTCCCCCATCCTTCTCCACAAGACGTTGGGGGGAGGGAACCCCCCCGAGCGCACCGCCGTCCCCCGCCTTTGTTACATTAGGAAACGCACACCGGGCCCGAAGCGTTTGCAAAATGCCACGGTGCCACACAGATGTAGAAGCCGTAGTCCTTTTCCTGGCTTCAATTTGCTCCTTCGCTTTCATTTCCTGTTTCTCGGCCTCTCCCCGGTTTCTCTCCCCCCACCCCCCCCACCCCAATGGGCTTCTGCTCCGTGCCACGCAGGACTGCACCTCTTTCTCTCCAAACACAAAACTTCCCTTTCCGCGCCTTCCAGCGCTGGCTGGGCAGGTTTCCCCACGCGGGGCGGATTTGAGGGACCCCCAGCAGGGGTGTCTGGCTCACCCGGGCTCTCCAGGGCAATCACCTAAGGTTTCCCAGAAAGTGGAGCCTGCAGGCACGGTCCAGCAAGGACCGGTTCCCGCCTCCTTCTCCCCCGCCCCTCCTCCAGCCCCCCGCTTCCGCCGCTCCTCCGGGCGCAGCGCTGACCCCGTGCCCTCCGAGCCGCCGCGGGAACAGCAGGGCGGCCTCCTCCTCCTCCCTCTCCCGCCCCGCAATCTCGGGGATCCGTTCCCTGGGGCCCACGGGGGGGGGAGGGAAAAGGAGGTGGGGATGGCCGGGGGGGAATGGGGGTGCGTCCAGGGCTGGACTTCCAGCCGCGCGCTTCGGAGCTCCCCTCGGGTGCGCAGGGTTGGGGTCCGCAGCTCCCCCACCTGCTTTGCTAAGTTAAGTGGCACCAGCAGCCACCTCACCTCTCGGGACCGAGCCGGGCACTCGTCTCGGCTCGGATTCCCCCCCCCCGCAATTTCTCCCGCCAAGGTGAAGCGCGGGGTTGGGAGGACGCCCCCTCCTTGGCCCGCAACGTGCGTCGCTCTCAGACCCAAACAATGATTTCCCGGGGCTCCCGGGCTTAGCCATCCGCCCCTTCCCCAATCACCCCCGCGCCCCGGGCACCGTCCCCCCCCACCCGGTGCAGACCCCCCCCCTTCCCCATTACGGCCCGGCGTGGAGGGTGGCGGGGGTCCCGGGACACTGACCCGGCCGGTGCACGCAGCCCGGGGCCGGCTCCGCCCACACCTTTGCAAGTTCTCCGGGCTCCCGGCCCCCTCCCGGAACGCCCCCCTCCGCTCTGTGGGGAAGGGGTGGGCAGAGAGCGGGGGTGGGGGCAGAATTCAGGGGGGGCGGGGTGCCCAGCGGGCTCTTTATTTGTCTCGGAATTCTTTTCCTGAGGCTGCCCAGCGCGCTCGGACACAAAAGGGGGTGGTGGTGGTGGGGGGAGACTTTCTCTGGGCTCAGCGAGAGTCCCAGCCGGGCGAGTTGCAATCGGAGGTGGTGGGGGGGGTTGGACTCGGGCCGCGACCTCCCCACCAGCCCTCCCCCTTCCCCACCCCCTCGACCCCCCCCCCCCCCAGCCCCGCACTGTGGGTCCCCTCAGCCTGAAGCTCCCACAACTACGCGGGCCATGTGTGGGCTATTTTGGGTGCCGCCGCAGCAAGGTGGTGCAGGTGAAAAGGAAGCGCGTCCGCGGCCAGGGGGCGGAGGCAGGGGTGGGGCGGGGTGGGGCGGGGCGGACCCCACCCCCTTCCCCCAGCCCGCGGCCGGGGCGGGGAGGCGAGGGCTGGGCAGTGGGTGTTGCCTTCTACCTCTGCGAGCGGGGAGGGGTTCGCTTCCCACCGGGGATTTCAACCATCACACACGCACACGCACGCACACACACACTCACTCACACAGCCCGCCTCCTAATCCCGGGGCGGAGCGGCTAGGGGGGCCCCATTTTCATGGCAATAAAGCGACTTAGCGCCTGCTGAGCGAGCCCCTCCCCGCCGCCGCCCCCGCCCTCGGCCCCACCCCGGGGCTCGCCCTGCAGCGGCGGGGCTTTGTTTCGGGGGAGGAGGACCGGGAGCTCTTTTGTTTGGGGGGTTTGGTGTTTTCACCCTTCCCCACCTCCCAGCCTCACCCCACCCCACCCCACCCCACCCCTCGGCCCGGCGGCTGGCTCTCGGGTTCCCAGAGCCCCGCGGGTCTCGCAAAGGCCAGGAGCAGCGAGTCCGGCCACCCCCTCGGCTGGGGCCCCGGGGTAATTCGATGCGGGCCTGGCGAGGCTCCCCACGCTAGACCCGGGCTCGCGTCTCGGCAGCCTCCACCCACCGGCCCACCCTACATTTAGCGCATCATGTGATCCGGGTAAGTCATTTGCAAGTACAACAGTTCCCTGGGTTGCCCCCCATTCATTTCCTGAGAACTGCAGAGAGCAGCTGAGAGGCTCTGCTTGTGCGTGTGTGTGCGGGTGACGCCGTGTGTGCGAGTGAGTGTGTGCGCGTGTGAGAGGGAGAAAGGGGGAGAGGAGAAAGGGCGAGAGAGAAGGGGAAACAGGGAAAGAAGAGAGGGAGGGAAGGGAAGGAGAGAGAGAGAGAAAGAGAGTGTGTCAGAGTCTGTGTTAGGGAAAGAAAACAATTTCTCCTGCTCTACAGCTTCTGTTCAGGTCTGTGCCAATTCCGTTTCTTATCAAAATAAATAACCCCCCCTCTTTTTTTAAATTTTTTGGTGCCATCCCAAATCAGACCGTATTCTCTTAACATGTTTTCTTTTCCGTCTGTCATCTGCTCAAGTTAAATCATTTTGGTTGGTCTGTGTTCTAACGGGGGGAAAGTGTGGGGAAGCAGTGGGGGGGTGGGGGGTGTCGGGGAAGGGCGATGCTACACGGCTGAGCAAGTAGCGCCGGTCGGATTCGTGGAGAAGAAAGAGGGAGGTTACTTCTCCCACCCCCCACCCAATTTTTTTTTTAAAAGAACTTAGCAAGTAGCAAGAAATTAGGCATTTTTCCCCCTCTACCCCTAGTGGAATTGTGGGTTGCAGTGTTTGTCTGACAGTTGCCAACGATGAGAAATAAATCTCCCCTCCAGGCTGAATGTGTGTGTGTGTGTGTGTGTAGTCGTGAAAGTAGTTGGATCCCAGGAATAAATGGGGATAGCTGCGGGCGCACCAGGGCTCTGTGTGTGTGTGTGTGTGTGTGTGTGTGTGTGTGTGTGTGTGCGTGTGCGCGCGCGCACACTCGCTCAGTGGTGGACGGGAAGGGGTTAAGGCGGAGATGACACTGCTGGCATGAATAGTGGTCCTGGTGCTACCTTCGTTATTGTCTCTGGTCCTAATGATGGGTAACTGTCACTTGAGACAGTGCCCGGTCCACGGAATTCAGACCAGGGGCTGGCCCAAGGCTGTTATTCTTCAGTTTTGGGGGGGGACGAGGCTGGAGTTGGCCAGGGGCAGCTTTGGAGGCCACCTGGGCAAGGAAACCCTCGAAGCCGGCCGGGGAGCCGCTTGGTTGCCTTAGGAGCTAGCTCCGAGGTCTCGGCCTTGACCTCCGCGGCATGAGTGGGTGCTAATGGGAGGTGATCTGCTACCCCGAGAGCCAGCCTTGCGATTGTTGGGTGGAGAACTGCCTTCTAGAACTTTGCAAACTTTTATCTTGAGGGGAAAGGGTGGGGTGCACTCAACAGTTTTGTGTCGCTGCGCTTTGGAGGCAGGCAAATGCTTGGGGAAAAAAGTACCAATTCCTTTGTTATATGCCCTGCCGCCTCCCAGCCCCCTTCCCTCTGCCCTTCGAGTTTTGCATACTTTAATAAGTAATAGCCTTAATTCAGCGGATCAAAGCCGACTGTGTTGAGTTAAAGAGTATTAGTCCAACGGAATGTGTAATCTGGATAAACAGTTTGTGTCGTTAGTATTGTCAGCTCTCGAATTTAAATGTGCCGATGACTTAAGTCTTGTTCTGTGTGGATTGTTTCAAATAATTCTACTGGCTAATAGAATTCTCAGCCAGTGCAGTACGATATTTTAACTCGGCGTTCATATTCTGTTTCCCTGTCACACCCAAGAAAGACCGAGCAGCTCTATTTACATTTAGCGCATGTGCCTCCAGTTGCTTCGTAGACATCTGCCAATCAAATACACGTCACTCTGCAAATCTACCTAGCCGTCTTCATGCCCCTTTTTCTTAGTGGAGGATGGAGTTGTTTAGATAAGTAAATGCTTTGAAATATGGTGGTGGCTTTAGCTAGAAGCCACTTGGGAATAAGGGTGGTCACGTTGAAGAGGGATGTGTGTACCATCTTGGAAGAAACGCTTGTTAAATTGGCATTTAATTACAGCAGCAGACCCCCCTCCTCCCAAAGGAGGGGAAAAAAAAGAGAAGCAAACCCTGTTTGCAGCCATTCGCTGATGTCATCCACATGGTGTTTACATTTTTTCAAACCACACAGAAATGGGTTATGTTAAAGGGGTAGACTTTTAGGTTGGAAAACGTTGAATTATAGATCAGTAGAATAGGATGTTAAAGAACAGACGTCTCAATTATGCTAAGCTACATCTTTATCACTGCAGACTGATCAGTCTTCCTATTAGAGCAAGTGTTAGCCTCCTTTGAGTTGCGAGAGAGCATTTAAGCATGCAGGAAAGTGGCAGAAATAATGTATTTAGAAAAAAGGTTTATTATTCTACCAACTCACTATTATGAAATATATTTAAACTGGGAAATTGGAATGTCACATAAATTTTTTTTCTTAGTTTTAATGAATGCCAACTGCATAACTGACAGCCATGTCAAGTTAAAACATCCTTGAGGAATTTCTGTTTAGGACCGAAGTCCTTCAGTTATTGATCTACTACTGAGTAAAGCATCTTTAAGAGAAACTTCAATTGGCTCAACTTTTTGGGGGGAATGCTTTTTATTACAGTTGATTGAATGAAAATTGTGCTTGTAAGTCCTCAACAGCTCCATCCCCACTCCCCCAAGTTCCTTTTTAAGAAACTAATGTTTTGATGGACATAGTCCTGGTATCGCATAGAAACCTTGACCTTAGCAGCTCTTGGCTGGTGGTTGTTTACTACAGCTGCAGCTATGCCTGGCTGGCCTCTATCAAAAGGGAAGGGATTGCAAACACTTCCTAGCTCTGGCAAGACAAATCAGGATGCTGGCTGTTCAGTCCAAAGGACTTACATCAGGCCTACATTTCTTCTGGCTTCCCTTGAAAAGGAGTCATGCATTTTTACAGCATTTGAGTGAGTCTTGCATGTTACATCATGAAGCAGGCTGTCAGTAACTTTATGAAAGAATTTTATCTTATACCTAGGTATGCTGGATCTCAGCAAAGATGATTGCAATACTTAGGTCCTCAGGCCTTTACTTGAGGGCATTTTTGTATTGGAGGTGTTGAGTGATAGGGAGTTTTGGTGTTGTTAAGTAGTTGAACTTATAGAATGTGCTGGTCATTTGTTTTCATAGTATATGGAAAAAAACCTATAGTTTTTGTATTTTTGAAAATGCAGTAGCATTAGAATAATCACATTAAATTGGATGTCTAATGGTTTGTTTTCTTTGGAGTTGGGAGAAGCATTCTTCTTAGAGTCTCAAGTTCCTACTATGTATGTATGTATGTAGTATGAAACTAATATTAAAGTCCTTTGAAACATTATGTTGTTTGTAGAGGGGGGTAATGGGGAACAAGGTATCACTGAAGAGCCCAAGCTGGCTTTGAATTTACATTCCTCATGTCTCAGTCTCCCATGTCCTGGGATAACAAGCTTGTATCACCAGGCCTAGCACAGACTTATTCTTTTTCTTTCTTTCTTCTTCTTTTTTTTTTTTTTTTGAGAAGTTAATTTTCTTTCTTGTGCTTCCACATTGATTAATGAGCAAGAACTAAAATTCCCCAAGGAGTTTTATTCAAAGTTGATATCACTGATATCTTTTGTGTGTGTGTGTGTGTGTGTGTGTGTGTGTGTGTGTTTGTATGTGTGTGTGTGTGTGTTGTTAAGAAAATAACTTTAATTATGTTTTGGCACTACCATAGGGTCACAGACTGGAAATGCCTATATTTTTGTCCAGTGTTGATTTATTTTCTTTTAAAAAATTAAATTTAGTTTTAAGCTTAAGAATTTTGCACAGCCTTTGGCTTTAAATATGTACCAAATGTAAGGGTAAAAATATTAAAATGAAGTCACTGGCAACACCCTATAACCACAGCTTTAACTCAACCACCACAGCCACTCCTCCCAGAAGCAAAATGGGAGTAAACAGATGGGCCCTGCCCAGTGCCCGGAAGGTCAACTGCCTTCCGCTGGTTCTGTCAGACCTGCTTGGTTTCTAGATCCTAAGTCCTGCCAGGAGGCTGTCGGACTTCAACCTGCCAGTATTCATTTTCAGAGCCTGTACTGGGCCACCTCCCATCTGATGTCAGCCACAGGACTTCTGTGCTAAAGAGCACAGGCTGTGGATTAAACGGTTACTTTCTCTATATGCTCTCCCTAATTATGTTACAAAGGGATTTTTTGTTTTTTTTTGGTGTTGTGTGTTTATTGTCTCACAGTGGCTACTTGAGTAGTCATATTGCTCCATAAAGATTTGCTTTGGTCTGGCAGTAGATTATAGGATATGCATCCAAAGATTTCTGCTCTGGTTTTGGTGTTTCTTCCTGTGCTCTTTTCAATGTGCAGTGATACTTCGCTTGCCTAGCTTATAGTCTGTACTTTTCCCGTGATTATTAATGTAGTTGGGCATGTAATTGGACTGGCACTGTGTGTGGGTACAGGAAATGGCTGTGCTCTCTGCATAGAGGTGGGGGGGGGGAAACTAGAGAGTTTTGGAATCATTTTCTCTCATTCATCAAAGGCCATGTTAACTCCCATGACTATTATACCCTGCCTTTGATAGCTAAAACTTGTGGGGTAGGCACAGTGATTCCTATACGCTAAAGTGTTCATGTGCACAATAATTTTTGACATAATATAGGTGTGTATATGTATATATATCTGCTATTTAGATTTATGTATATATATATGTGTATATATATGTGTGTGTGTGTATATATATATATGCATATATATATATATATATATATATATATATATATATATATTGCCAGTCCTAGGGCTTGAACTCAGGGTCTGGGCACGGTCCCTAAGCTTCTTTTGCTCAAGGACACTCTACCACTTGAGCCATAGTGCCACTTCTGGCTTTTTTTTTAAATGTATGTAGTATTGAAGAATTGAATCCAGGGCTTCATGCATACTAGGCAAGCACTCTACCAGTAGGTCACATACCAAGCCCTATGGATAGGTTTAATACTTGCATTTACACATGAGTTTTTATGTTCTCTATTGACATACCACCTCCCACACCACATACT